TCTCTCTCCATGGTTTCTGTGTAGTCCTGGCTGTCCTGGAACACACTCTAGCCCAGGCTGGCCTCGAACTCACAGAGATCCACCTGCCTCTGCCTCCCCAGTGCTGGGATTAAAGGGGTGCACCACCACTGCCTGGCTCCTATGACATTCTTACACAATCTTCTAATAGTACTGAAGTGCCTGGGGTGCACATCTTTAACCTCAGCACTTGGGAGGCAGAGGCAGGGTCTCTGTGAGTTCCAGGTCAGCCAGGACTATGTAGTGAGACGCTGTCTGAAGACAGGAAAGGAGGAAGTCTGACTGTTGATAAGAGGCACTGTGACACCTTCAATTACTCAGAATTTGTTCAGTTCTGTGAATTTAGTTCAAATGTTTAGATCATATGTAGCAAAATCAACAGGAAACCGTCACCTACCGGCCCTACAAAGCCCAGCAGCCCTGACCGGATGAAGGGCACGTCTCCCACAGGAGAGCCTGAAGAGGCCACTGGAATAACCTGAAAGACAAAAGGGAAAGGTGAACAGCTAGGCTTGTCTCCCTAAAATTTATCTGATTTTTACAGTCTTACTTAAGAGAGAAATCACAAGTAGTGTGTGCTAATTGAGCAGGCGTGGCGGCTCACACCCGTAACCCTGGCACTCAGGAGACAGAGGAAACATCTCAGCGAGTCATCTCCAGGCCGGCCAAGGCTGCGTAGTGAGACCCTGTCTCTAAAAACAAACAAACCACACCCCAAATGTGCGGGTGTGTAATATGCTTACTGGAAGCCATATGCAGCAACAAATTCAGGGATCAACCCTGTCAGCGTTGATTGTTCTCCCTGGAGTTTTATAACAGGCACACGTACACACTTAAACGGTTCACTGCGGTGATGTACTTTCCGTGTCTGTGCACACACCCACGCGTCACTGCACGCGTGTGTGGGTCAGAGGACAGCTGCAGGAGCTCCTCCTCTCCTCTCCTCGGTGGGCTGTGGCACAGGACCCATCGGGCAGCATGTGCCTGCCCGCGCCCACTGTGCCGCCACCTCACAGACCCAGGACGCCAGGACAGGGGCCATGGGTGCAGAGGCAGCTCAGGGGTGAAGCGCAGCTGTGCAGACATGAGGAGCACAGTTCTGATGCCCGCGCCATGCGGAGAGCTGGGGGAGGGTGTGAGCAAGGAGCTCCAGGGTTTCCTAGCCAGTACTAAAACCTAAATGACAAACCATCACCAACAACATGGAGTGGGGCAGAGGAAGACGCCCAGGGGAACTGTTCCACATGAACACACGCGTGCACACACACACACACACACACACACACACACACACACACACACACAAAGGCATATATCACATATACATAAATTAAGGAAAATATTAAAAAATAAGAGGATATATACATATATATGTATATATATGCAAAACACACACACAATTGCTAACAGACCTTTCACAATATATCTTAGATATACTATGTGTTAGTATTGTGTGCTGGGATGTATTATGTGTACCATATGTGTGTCAATGCCCGCAGAGGCCAAAAGAGGACACTGGATCTCCTGGAACTCGAGTTACAGGTGACAGAGAGCTTCTATGTGGGCACTGGGAACCAAACTTATATCCTCTACAAGTGCAGCCAGTGTTAACCACCAAGCCATCTCCTCCTCCTCCTCCTCCTCCTCCTCCTCCTCCTCCTCCTCCTCCTCCTCCTCCTCCACCACCACCACCACCACCATCACCGAGCTTCTCTGTGTAGTCCTGGCTGCCCTGAAACTCACAGAGATCCACCTGCCTCTGCCTCATGAGTACTGGGATCAAAGATGTGCGCCACCACTGCCTGACTCTTAGTTTATTATTTATTTGTTTCTTTCTTTCTTTTTTGGTTCTTCAAGACAGGGTTTCTCTGTGTAGCCTTGGCTGTCCTAGAACTTGCTCTATAGACCAGGCTGGCCTCGAACCCACAAACATCTGCCTGCCTCTCCTTCCTGAGTGTCATGATTAAAGGTGTGTGCTAACACTGCTTGGCTCAGTGTATTTTTTAAATACATTCATTAATTTTCTGGCTTATCATTACTATAGTCTTGTACTAGTAAAATGTTAACTATGGAAAATTCTCAGAATTTAAATATCTGACTTTAGTAAAAACACTAATTAAATTTACAAAACAAAGGAAGTAGTTTTTACCCTTTAGAAATATTTTTATTACTTTATTGTGAGTATATGTGTACATGTGTGTATGGGTGCATGTGTGCAACAGTACTCCTATAAAGGTCAGAAGACAACATGTGAGAGGTTCTTTTCCTCCACTATGGGATTTCTAGGGATTGAAGTCTGTTCATCAGGGTTGGTGGCAGGCACCTTTATCTGCTGAGCCATCTCACCTGCCTACTGGGCCCTCCCCCTTTTGTTTTTGAGACAGGCCGCCGCCGCCGCCACCACCACCACCACCACTACTATTTTCTCCTTTTTCAGGTGAGAATTCAGTCTACTTTGCTATCACCATCTTTAGACAGGGATCAGAAGTGTGTTCCTGGGCTGGGGATGCATCTCAGCAGTACTGCACTTGGCTAGTACTGCACGCACCACCAAAAATGTGTAAGAACTCTAGGCACACGGCTTCCTGTACTACCTCCCAATACTGCTGGAAGGCCTGCACGATGGCTCAAGAGGACAAAGTATTGCAAGCCTGACAACCTGAGTTCTATCTCTGGACCCTACAGCAAGAGCCAGCTGCAGCCTCACACTTCTGTAATTTCAGAGCTGCTGCAGGAAGGTAGGAAAGAGAGACAGGGCCACCCCGTGGCCAGCTAGCCTGAAATCCACACTGCAGCAGGAACAGGAGAGGCCCTGCTAAGCAAAGGGGAGCGGGGCTGGTTAGAGCACTGGTTCATCCTGCAGAGGACCCGGGTTTGACTCCCAGCACCTACGCGGTAGCTCACAGGAACTACAGTCCTGAGGTTCCAACTCTCTCTTCTGGCCTCCAAAGGCACCAAACATGTACCTGGTACATGGACACACATTCAGGCAAAACCCCTATACATGTATATATAATTTTAAAATTAAAAACAACGTGGAAGGAGAGCCGACCCCAAGTTGTCTGTCCTCTATCCTCCACACACACAGCTGCAGCAGAATCTCATGCCCGCATTTCTCCTCCCCCTTCCCTCACATACAGACAATAATACAATTCTGCTTGAAGCAGAGGCATGTGCCTATAACGCCAGATTCTCAGGAGACTGAGGCAGGGGGATGACAAATCAGAGGCTAGTCAGACTACTCACGAGACACTGTCTCAAACAGCAAGGATCTTATTTCCAGTGAGAAAGATTCAATGACAGCATCACAAGCACGAGACAGAGATCTAGTCAAGCACTTAAGGACAGCCGGGCCGGCGAGGGTTCAGTGCGTTGACCCGAGTCAAGCAGTGGGTCTGATGATCTGAGCTGGGTCCCCAGAACCCGCATGGTAGAAGAGAACAAACCACTGCGAGCTGTCTTTTGACCTCCGCACGCACGCACGCACGCACGCACGCACGCACGCACGCACGCGCTCCTGCACACAGACACACAACAAATAAACAAACGTTTTTTAAAAACTCTTTAGAAACAGAAACTGGGTATAGGTAGGTCATACCTATAATCCCAGCAACTCAGAAGGCTGAGGCAGGAGAATCTCCAAGAGTTTGGGGCCAATCTGGGATACAAGGGGAGATACCGTCTAAAACAGATTTTCAAGAAGGGAAAACGGGGACTGAGGAGGCAGCTCAGTAGCAGAGTGTGCTCAGCACTCACAAGGACGCGTGCTGAAGGCCGACCTGGGAAGAGGAGGAAAGAAGGAACGGAGAGACTTAGGAAAACACACGTACACTTACTGAGGACGACAGAGAGTAACCGAGGGGCCGAACCCACACCCGGGACCTACCAGCTTCCACTCCGGTGGAGTGGATGGGACACCTCTGAGGGGACATGAGCGAAGGAGCGGGGGACAGCAGCAGGCCTACACTGTGCTGCTGCAGGCCTGTGGACAGGTGACGGTCAGCCCTGTTCTCAGCCCCATCCGGCAGCACATGACAGACCGCACAGATGCTCTGTCACACGGGAGAAGGCATGCTGCCACCAGTGACGGCTAGTGTACCATCGTAGGCACCATTTCCAGAAAGTGTTGAAATGCAGCTTCCGATGTTTGCAGGCTCCCTACCAGAGGGAGGCTGTTACAGAACGGGCAATTCAGAGCTGGAAGTCAGCAGGACTCCTGCTTGTGGTGATATATTGTGTACCCTAATAAACTTGCCTGAGGGTCAGAGGACAGAGCCAGCCACCAGATTAGACAGAGAGGTATGTGGGGGTGAGGTGGGAGGGGGCAGAGATCCTCTGGATCTCTGTGAGTTCAAGGTCACATTGGAAACAGAGCCAGGCAGTGGTGGCACACGCCTTTAATCCCAGTACTGGGAAGCACACATGCCTTTAATCCCAGGAAGTGATGTCTGGGCAGAGAAAGGTATATAAGGTGTGAGGAAACAAGAACTCACTCTCTTCAGACTGTGGATTTCTTAGAGGTAGAAACTAGTGGCTGGCTGTTCTGCTTCTCTGATCTTTCAGCTTTCACCCTGATATCTGGCTCTGGGTTTTTTATTAAAGACCATCTAAGATTTGAACAATATCTGCTGGCCCTGACTAGTATAAGGGAGCCACAATCCATCAACAAAATTTCTCTGGTCCCTACAAGGTATCCCAGACAATTAACCACTTGTTCTAATGTGCAGGCTCACCAGGGCAACTTCTCATTACAACCTAGCTCTGCAAGCAGAATGCCCACAGGAAGGCCATGAACTGCCTCCTTGGAGAACGCCGCCTCCTCTAGAACGGCAGCGTTACCCGCGGTCCACTTGTCCTGACAGAGCCCCAGCACACAGAGCAGTGCAGGTACAAGAGAGGAATCAGCAAGCAGCTGCTCGAGGAGCAACGGCCCTGCAACAAGTCAAGTCTTCCTGCATGTGCACAAGTGCACATGCATGTGGCTGTCTTCCTCACTCAGGTACATTTTCTGCTGAATGCAGACTGCCGAGACAGCCAGTCGGGCTGAGCGGCTTGCCTGGGGATCAGGGCAGCTGCCATGCATGCGGGGCTTCTGGGGATCTCAACCTGGGCTCTCGCGCTTCCGTGGCAGGTGCCATCAGTGATCTGACACAGCAAGCACAATTGTCACAGCACTCTCAGTCAAAACCGTGAACTCACAGACACACCACACCACTGCCTCTGTGCCAGAAGCTGACCTAACCATGAGTAAATATCAATTCATTTTGTGTTCCAAACAGGTGGACTCTGTGACTATTCACATTTTGTTCTGCTTTTGCATGTTTTGAGACAAGGTCCTGTTATATAGTCCAGGTTGGTCTTGAACTCACAGTCCCCTGACCCCAGGCTCCCAAGTGCTGTGACTGCAAGTGCTAGCCACCATGTCTGGTTGTCACTCACATTTAAGATAAAGGAACAGGGCACCCAGAAGGCTAAGCGACTCACAAAGCAGCAGTGAGTGGTGGAGACAACCTGACCTTAGGCACTGGGCCCAGAAGACTTGATCTCAACCACTAAGCCATTCTGTGCCGTCAGCTAGCAGGTCTCCCCAGTAACATCTGACCTCACCCAACATCTCCCCGTGAAATAATATCATGTACCTCAAATGTATTTTTGGTCACACCAGCAAGTCCAAAGTACATCATTCCTCCAGTCCTGGAGCTGACACAGATCTCGCCAATTTCATCTGTCTTGCAGAGCTGAGGAAGTCCGTCTGGTTTCACAATGCACATCATACCTAATGCACAGAAAACACAAAAACACAAGAGTCTAGAAACCTGCAAAGTAACAACTTTGTTTTCGAGCCCAGGAGTTGCACACTCACTGAAGGAGTGTTAAGAAGTGCCACAGAGAACCCGGAACCTGCCAAGTCGACCTGGGACCTACAGCCCTGAGTCACTGGTGCACCAAGGAGGGAATGCAGCGGCCTTGTGATGAAGTGGGCGCCGGCCTTCCGAAGGGCTGCTGTAGCACCCACCAGGGCGGCACGCTCTGCCTTCCTGGGCTGGCAAATGACTGGCATTGCTTTCCACGGGAAGAGCGTAATCAGGCACGTTTGAGATTGGTAACTCACACAGCAGCAGTGCAGGGCCAGCACAACGACCCACTCCCCCGGGTAACTCACACAGCACCAGTGCAGGGCCAGCATAACGACCCACTCCCCCGCTGGGGAGGCTCAAGGAGGGGAGGGTGTGACTGGGCAGCGAACTGGGACTTCCAGATTTGGCCTCTCGTTTATGTGTCTCTCCTCTAGTTCTCCCAGGGCTCTGGGCGTGCCAGGCAGGCATTGCACCACAGCTACCCGCCTTCCCAGTGCAGCGCCACTCACGACTTCTGGTGACAAGTCTTAGGAAACCCAATGACGCCCCTCACAACTCACCCCCAGGCATCACATGTCCCACATCCTGGACTGTCAGTGCTGAATTTTTATCTTCAGTATTGACCCGTATGACCCCATAGCTCAATCCATTCATTGAGAGAATGGCTCTTCCTGGTAAGGGAGCTCCTGGAACTCCAGGCCTAAAATGTGAACAAAGCAACAATAAACCATTGAGCCAGGTCTCTACAAACACACACACACACACACACACACACTTTTCTTTAAGGAGAAAAGACTATGCTGGTGTGGAGTATGTCTACTACAAAGGCATATTTCCCACGTCTGAGGTACAATCAGAACAAGAACAGACTACTTCTACTTACTCTTCAAGGGATTCTGAAGAGTAAACAACACAGAAAAATAACTCACAAATATGACATAGAATAATTAAAATAAAATTTCAGCTTCTAGGTATACTTCTGGCAAGAAGAAAAAAATAATGAGATGTCTGAAATGATGTTACTAGGTAAATTTTACTTTTAGGTATTTTTTAAATAATTTATTTCTTTTTATGTGCACTGGTGTTTTTCCTGCATGTGTGTCTGTGTGAGGGGGTCAGATCCCCTGGAACTGGAGTCACAGACAGGTGTGGTCTGCCGTGTGGGTGCTGGGACTTGAACCCGGGTCCCTGGAACAGTGGACAGTGCTGCTCTTAAACTGCTGAGCCGTCTCTCCAGCCCCAGCTTTTAGGTTTATGAAGCAGAAAATCATTTAACTCCTTTCTCATCATCTGGAAAAAAAGCACACATCTCATCCAGGCTGCGCCAGGCACCAGGAGCCCCCGACCTCGCGAACGGTACCTGCGGATGGCTACAGTCATGGCCTCGGCAGATGTGGCGCATGGGCAGATGGCCTCAGGTCTCAGTCCGTGGCTTTGGAACAGACTCAGGAAAGCATCACAGGATGACACAGACCCTAAGGCGTGGGAACAGATCAGTTTAATAGCTGAAACCACCATTTCCCTTGCTGCAGGAGACTAACGGGTGTGTGAGACACGCGAACGAACGGGTGTGTGTGGCACAGCTGTCCGTCAGAACTCACACTGTACATCACTCATCGCGTGCAAACGGTTTACTGTGCCTGTGGGGGGCTTGAGACACGTTCATCCAACACATGACAGGTCCCTGACAGTACTTAGAGTCAGTCTGGAAAGGCCACACCCACGAAGGGGGCAGGGCAAGCTCAGAGAAAACGCTGCAGCTAACATGCAGCCAGGCGGCCCATCCGCTCTCGGCGATGTTCTCTGACTCTTCCTGCCTCGTTCTCCATGTGCTTGAAGGCAGGATGATGAGTAAGTTCACTTAGGAGAAAGAGTTCAGCCTCCATGCTCCCCCAAGTACCCAGTGGAGGACCAGCACCTCTGTGCTTATCCAGAAAAGCAGACAGCACACTAAGGTCTCTACAAGTTTCTTGCCAATTCCCTTTATTTGCCGCATGGAAGAATTTACACCAAGTTCATGTACATATCAAGTCAAGTCCAAACCTCTCCCTTCACCTAAGAGCCTCCCACGGAGGATTCAAATGAGCAAGGCCCGGTTTCAAAGAGCTGCTAAGTCCATCAAGAGATGAATGGATAGACAAACGTGCTGTGTCTATGGTGCTCTACATGCCAATGTAAAGGACTCTGACAAATGCGAAACATGCCACTGAGAGAAGCCTCTCGCTACACACAGGCTGCTTCACAGCGAGCGTGCGGAGCAGGTGGACTACGGGCAGGGTGGGGGCTGGAGACGGTGAGGGCAGGGCAAGGAGCGCCTGCTGCTCTTCCTCAGGACCCAAGTCCTGCTGCCGGCCACAGTGTCACAACCAGAGGGGGGGACACCCTCTCCTGGGCTCTGAAGGAACCCGAACACATGGGGCATATGCGTGCGCGCGTGCATACACATACACACACACACACACACACACACACACACACACACACACACACACACACACACACATCCATTTCTTAAATCTTTTTTTTTTTTCTTTAGAGGAAGGAAATTCATGACTGTCTGTGGCTGTGGAACACTGGAGAGGATAAACAGTGACAAACAGTAAGTGTGTGGTTTCTCTTAGGTTAACAGAAGTTATTTGAAACTTCAGTCATGGTGGTAACCGCACAGCCACAAACACCCCGCACCACTGAATCAGACCCTTGAAACGGACAAGTGCCGTCGCTTGTAACTGACATCTCAACACAAATGCTGAAAACAGAAAAGCTTGTGGAAAAGGAGCAGACACGCTGCCTGCCAGATGTTCTGGGACTTCTACCCCAGCACTCACAGGGATTGGCGCCATCGGTGACAATCAGCATCCGCAGAGAGCTCAGGCTCACGTCCCTCTGGTCCCGATGGGCCATCATGGCCCAGTGTAAGTCCCGACACTTCACGAGAGCCACCTTGGCTACAGATCAAAGGGAAGAGTTACGACACACAGACGCTAAGTGTGGGCCCAGATTCAATATGTTACAGTAAGAACATTTTTATTTATTTAGTAAGAGTTCTCACTTGGAGAAAAATTTTTAAAGTTTAAAAAAGACTGTGTGAACCTCTGGGTAAGCAAGCGTCATATTCAGCCACTGCGCAGTCAAGGAAACCCCGACAACACAGCATTCAATAGAGCTAACTATGGCTCAGATTCCAGAGGATTCAATTTGTAAGAAAGAACGCAGGGAGATAAGGCAAACAGCTCAGCTACAGTAACAACCCCAACATTTGGAAAGCCACCAAGGCAAAGACCTGATTCTCTACAGGGGCATACTTCCACCAGTCTCAATTAGCATGTGTACGTGTGTGATTACCTTTGTGGGCATGGACTCTCTGGACCCAAGAGAGAGGACAGGTCTTCATAACAGAGTAGGGCACACTGATTGTATGCATCTTATTCATTACATTCTGAAAAGCAAAGAAACATACGAAGCGGTCAATACAAAACGTGTATTTAGCACCTTCTGTTGTACTGACATTCTGCTAACAATGTTATAGAGGTATTATTCAAGTCCACCCTTTCAAAAAAGACTTGAGACACCAGCAATAGTGCTAAAGCACCTCCAAGAGCTGCTCTAACCCTGGTTCTCTCCTCTCTCTCCCAGGGCATCACAGTGATGATACCTATCCCTCCAGTCCTTTGTCCACGCATGTGCATACACATGTGACTTTAGAAACACAAAGTATTTAAATGCAAGCCACCACAGGATACATGTATTAACCACTTGCTGCTTTCCACTTCTACTGTTTCACAGATAAGTCTATGCACCTCAGAATCGGGGGCTACCAGCTCCCTCTGTACGGCTGCACATGTCTTAACAGTGTGGAAGCGAGGCATGTGGATTCACATCCACCGGCATGTGCACACCTGTTTTTTTAGGGTAGACATAGAAGAGAAGCCCTGCTGGGTCACGAAGTTGCTGCTTTCAGAGAGTTAGCAGACACTCCCCAACTGTCCCCAAGCCCCGGTGCGCTATGGCAGTCCTGCTTACCACACACCACAGGCTGAGGGGAGGATTGACAATGGAGCAGCACTACAATGCACAAGACCAGCTCCCCAGTTCCTAACAGGTCACGTGTTTGTACAGGAAAGCTGAGAGAACTGGGGTCAGGCAGGTCGCTGTCCTCCTGCCCATCCACATCAAGGATGTGAGCTCCCCAGAGACACAGTGCAGCAGAGTAATCAAGCCTGTGTTTGCAATGGATGGTGTGTGTGTGTGTGTGTGTGTGTGTGTGTGTGTGTGTGTGTGTGTGTGTGAGATAGTTCTACCTGGCTTGGAATTCAAGTATTCCAGGCTAGCCTTGAACTCATGGCGATTCTTCTGCTCAGGCGCCATCCCCAACTAAGCCTGAGATCAACCATGCTGTCACCATTTACATGCCCTTATATACAAGTTACCATCCCTGCCCTCAAGGCCTCAAGGTCTGCTGGCACAGACTCGGTTTCAGGAAAACAGTGTTCTGTCTGCACCGGATTATAGAAGACCCCTTCTCACACAGTCTTTATTTGTTCTGTTAACTTCTAATTAAAAACAAAAAAGAGTAAAGAGATTCAAGCCCTTTTCAACTTCATGGTCCCATACTTTTCTGTCCACCTAAATGGCATCTTACACAGTAGTTTTCCCAAAGAAATATACCCTTCCAATTCTACCCACCCAAAATCTCTACCTAGGTCATCTTAGCTATTTCCAAAGTCCACCTTGGCTGTCACTTCCTCGTGGACACTCCCGGATGATGGGATGAGAAAGACGCCATCCTTCTGACACCCACAGCGTGCTCCCTCCTCCTATTACAGGAAGCACCCTCCCACCCCCACCCCCCCTCTCCGTTCCTCTCTTCTGTGCTCGAAGCATGTAGTTTTGTCTTTTTTTTTCACTGTGTGTACACGTGATGTGTGTCCACGAGTGTCCATGCATGGCTGTGGACTCGTGTGCCATGTGTGTGTGTGAAGGGTCAGGTGACAGACAGCCTTGGGCTTTGGTCCTTGCATCCGGCAGCGTCTCTTCTATTTCATTTCAATTATTTTACCCCCTCTTCTCCTTCTCTGGAATTACAGGTGGTTGTAATCTACCTGATGTAGGTACAAGAAACTGAACCCAGGTCCTCTGCAAGAGCACCCAGTGCTCTCAACCACTGAGCCACCTCTCCAGCCCAAGGCAGGGTCTCCTGCTGTTCACCGCTACTACATCAGACGACGACCCGGGATAAGCTTTAGGGGATTCTCTTGCCTCTGTCTCCAATCACCTCACACTGGAATTGCAGATGTGCACTACTGTATCCTCTGCCTCCAATCACCTCATGCTGGAATTGCAGATGTGCACTACTGTATTCTCTGCCTCCAATCTCCTCACACTGGAATTGCAGATGTGCACTACTGTATCTTCTGCCTCCAATCACCTCACACTGGAATTGCAGATGTGCACTACTGTATCTTCTGCCTCCAATCACCTCACACTGGAATTGCAGATGTGTACTACCGCACCTGTTTTCCATGGATCCCGGGGATCTAAGCTCAGGTCCCCATGCTTATGTGTCCTCTAGAAAATGTCACTGACATTTAGGAGCTTCAGCTGCAACCCCAAGAGATGCACTTGTCACAGAGCCTCGGCCTCAGGCACATCTTAATTTAAAGGCCGCACCCCACAGCTTACCGCAAACATGCCATGCCACAGCCCAGCATCCTTCTTGAAGTCTAAAACATTGACTACGGCCTCTCCTAGAAAGAGAAGATGGAGGGAAACAAGAGGCGGTCATGCTGAGCAGTGAATGACAATCACATTCATGCCCCCTTTGAAAAACAACTAGGAGATCAGCGTCTCTGGTTGCTGAGACCCCTACAAACTGGCTGGAGGAGGGTGACAGGGTGATGTGGCCATTACAGCGACACTAAGGTAGAAACTCTTTAGCATTTAGGGGCATCATTAAGGAGTTTTTCCCTAGTGAAATAAGGAACATGTATTGGTCTTAGAAACTGGAATTTTCACAAATATATGTAAAAATTATACTTCTTTGAAAAACATGAAATATTGTTCTATATATTAAACCCATGTATACAGACGCCCACTTCTAGATATATCTACAGATAGATTAACAACAAAATAAAACAGGCACACACAAGGCGGCATCGAAATGTTTTCACTCTATGATAAATTTCTCCATATTTCTAACACTCAGGAGCTTGAGTCTCAGTGCTCCAGGGCAGACCCTTTGAATGATCGTACTGGAACTGGACCCTGTCTGGGGCAGTATGATTCTTCTCACACATGCATATGCACATATTTAAAATCAGATAAAAATGTTGCTCTGAAATGCACACAGTCACCCTTCACTCTGCAAAGGGAAATAAAACACTGAAAAATGAATGTTACCAAGAACATCTGGAAGTACATGCTGAAGCCAGATCTGGCAGCCCGGGCCCATGATTTTGGCACAAAGGAGCTTGAGGTGGAGGCCAGCCTGCTTTGACTGTAATTATGCAATATATATTTATATCCCAAAAGGTTTACACTCTTTTTTCTTTTTGAGACGGGGTCTCATCTCATACCATAGCTCAGGGTGGCCTAGAACTCACTATGTATCCCAGGCTGGCTTCAAACTGACACTGTTCCTGCCTGTGTCCGTATGTCGGGACTACAGCTGTAGACCACATCATCTAGCTCAGAAGGTTTTCTGTTTAATTTGCACCTTTGGACCAATACTTAGTTGGAAGCTCCACATGGGAAGATGGGCGACATCTAAGCCCCACAGTACAAAACACATGGTTAATTGAGGTTTTCTATTTCTGCACTCCAGAAATGAGACTTTATAGATCTGGTTTGTCCAGAAGTTTATTTAAATTACAGATTTTTTTTTTTTCTAAAGAAGGCAAAAGCAAGCCAAGAATGTTCTGGAACATTTCCACCTGAATTTGGTCATTAAATGGAGTCCAGTCACCAAGTGGGCGCTCACAGGCACACGAATCTGGAGCTAACAATGAGGGCAGTCACGGGATGAGGTCTGACCTTCGGAATAATTGCAGGCCTGGGACAGAGCTTGGCAGTGAGACAGCATCGCGAGCCGGGACACTGTCACCCCCATCACACTCCCCTCCTTGCTTGTTTTATACTAGAGAGAGAAACAAAAACAAACTGTAAGAAGCACAGTAAGATGGGTTATCATACACGACAAAACTCAGAGATGAACCGAAACCCACATAAACCAAGACAATGGGCTTAATTTTACATGTTGAATAGGAACATTTAAGCCTTTGCACTTGGCTCCCAAACTCTAACTAAACAGCCAAGACTGGGGGACAATGAAGCCTGGCTGGAGCATGCGCAAAGTGACTTCAAAGTTTAGTTGCTCATCAATATGACGTAGTCACCAAAACCACTAAGGCCAAGTGATTGAGCTGTGTGAACAGAAGCATGATGCCCAATACAGCTGTTTCTCGGGGGCTGCTCAGCGGCAGAGTGCTCGCCGAGCTGTGTAAGACACTGGTTTGATCCCCTCGTCCCACTGGAATACCAAACCAAGAAGACATGGGACCTCAGCTGGCAGCAGGGCCCTCCCTCTTCACTCCTGTAGACGGCGTCCCTGCTTTTGTCATCCCTGTTCCATGCAGGCTGCAGCCTTTCGGACGTCACATAACAGAGGTGTCTTGTACGACTTCCCAACAGACCGCTGCCCATCTAACTTCCTCAGCTCCCGTGTCTCCTGGTCTCTCCCTCTCATCGCTCTGACCATCTCGGAGTTGGTTTTTCTCCCTTTCTCAGACAAGGTGTCTCACAATGTAGCCCAGGCTTGCCTGCAACTTGTGGCAATACTCCTGCCTCAGACTCTCATGAGCTATCGTACCCACAATCATCTCTGACTATGCCTTTGATGCTGGCACTCGTGAGACTCTCCCCTCCTTCCTTCCCTCATGCCATCAGGTGTTTTATCTTGGCTTGACTCCTGGCTCTGTGTCCACCCCGCCTCTCCTTCAGAAACCTGGACCCCAGCACCCTGCTGGAGTGCCTCCTGTCACTGGGAAGCACGCCACCAATGCTCCATCCCATCCCCCATCTCCACCCAGGAGAACTCTCTCTGTATTTTCTTCCTTTCTTTCTGAGACAGGGTCTCCCTAGGAAGCCCTGGCTATCCCAGAACTCACTAGGTAGACCAGGCTGCCCTGGAACTCACAGAGATTTGCTTTCCTCTACTTCCTGAGTGCTGGGATTAAAGGCGTGCGCCACACACTGCCTGACTCTTCCTGTACTTTCTATTCAACTGAAGGATTCTGCCATTCATCCAGGTGCCCAGATCAGGAATCCAAGTGTTTCCTGCCTTCTCTCTCTTCAGGATCAGCACCTAAATCTGGCGTAATCAACTCCCCTATTGTCTTCCAACCCCATCCACTCCTCTTTCCCATCTCCACGAGCTCTGACTCACTCCAGTAACTTTTCAAAAGAAGATTTATTTTTATTTTATGTGCACTGGTGTTTTGCCTGCATGTATGTCTGTGTGAGGGTCCCAGATCACCTAGAACTGGAGTTACAGACAGTTGTGAGCCACCACGTGAATTAAGACTTGAACTCTTCCTCCGGAAGAGCAGCTAGTGTTCTTAACCACTGAGCCATCTCTCCAGCTCAGAAGCTTTTGTTTAAGCAGGTCAGGGCTGGAGAGATGGCTCATCAGTTAGAGCACTGGTTGCTCTTACAGAGGACCCAGTTCAGTGCCCAGCACCCACATAGCAGTTCACAACTGTCTAGAACTTCAGTTCCAGGGGATCTAATGCCCTCTTCTGGACTCTGTAGGAACTGCATGCACATGGTCCACTTACAGACACTGGTGAAACATTCATACACATAAAATTTAGAGGAAAAAACCTACTGCTTCCTTCACAACCCAGCCAGTCTACATAAATCTGCATTTTAACGCTACTGTTTGTTTGTACGGTGTGGGGGAGCACACATAGGTGCCACAGCACACGTGTAAGGTTGGGGGACAGCCCTGTGGAGTTGGTTCTCTCCTCCCAATTTTATGTGAATTTTGTGGTCAAACTTGTCAGGCTCAAGTGGTAAGATCTTACCTGCCGAGCCATCCGGCCGGCCGGCCCCAGATGAAACTTTTTTATATAACAAAGTCATTCTTATTGCCCTCCTACTGACAACCCTTTAATAGTTTCCAATGCAGTAGGGGAATCTGTGGAACACAGGGCTCTCGCGCGAGTGGATTCTGAGTGGCAAGGCCACGCAGTGCAGGCACGGCCGTGCCACATGCGGCCAGGGTGCCACGGAGGGCTGCATGGTAAAGGGCCAACCTCGGCCAGCAGCTCCAGTGTCCGGGGGGGAGGGAGGCAAGAGAAGCCTCACCAGTGAACGGTGACTATCTTTCAGACACACTCCGCTCTCTCTCCTCTTTGCAGTCAACAGTTTCTCCACCTTCTACTTTCGTGGCCAAAGCTATTTCAAATTTTACTCATACTTGTTATTACAAAAGATTTCAGTATGTACCATGCCCCAAGCCTTTTAAAAGGTTTAATGGATGTGCTTACTAATTAATTTAGCAAGCAGCTGGTGAACAAGTCTTAAGAGGCCACAGAGGTGAAGGGTACAGCATCAGTCACAGGACTTCAGTCATGTGACCTTCGGACAGTTACCAAGTCTGTAGTCCCGTCCCCTTGTCCATAGAGCAGTTTTTTAAAATACAGATTATTTAATCATTGGGGGGGGCACCTACGTCACGATACACAATTGGGGGGAGAGGACAACTTGTGGAAATCAGTTCTCTCCTACCTCGCAAGTTTGGGGACTAGAACTCAGGTCCCTTGGGCTTGGTGGCAAGCACCTTTACCTACTAAGCCAACTCCCTGCGCCCACGGGCAGCTTTACAGGTTGAAATCTAGTAACTTGTCACACTCACAGCTTCTCATCACAGCGCAGGGGACTCACACAAACTAGTCAAGGTGCAGAGAATGGGAGGCGCAGAAGACTCAGCCTAACGGGCACCTCCTCCCAAGACTCAGGGCAGCCTAACGGGCACCTCCTCCCAAGACTCAGGGCAGCCTAACGGGCACCTCCTCCCAAGACTCAGGGTCATGCCGAAGAGGAGGCGGGTGGGTGGACGGTAGGAATCAGAGCTGGGGGTGAAATGTGGAAACAGTTTCCTGGACACACAGGGCAGCTGCCCACGTGAACTTACAGTGTGAGCAAGACCTGCTCCAGCTCCAGCCAGACCAAATCCCAGCATGGAGAGGCAAGGTAGGCATCAAGGCCCAGGCCGGCTCAGGAGCCATTGGCCATTGATGGCGCGGAGAAAGGGACCGTCGGTCTGTTTAAAGGTGTGCCCCAACTCCCCACAGGTTGCCACATTCCAGTGGAAGGCCACACATCCACGAGTACATGAATGTACTTTTTGAGTTAAAAAAAAAAAAAAAAAGACACAAATTTGGGTGGGTAGGGAAGTGGGTACATCTGGGAAGACGGGAGAGGATGACTATGAATCAAAAACACTGTACAGAACTGACAACTCTAATTTTATAATAAAAGTAAATCACTAAAAAAAAAATATAAGAAAGAGGAAAATAAAAAAAATAAATTTAACAAAAAAGCTGAGCTCTCCCTGGGCATTTACAGGAGAGAAGAAGTGACTTCGAAGTCCTCATCCCTGAGGGCTGCAGTGGTGCTGTAGGAGCTGCCGTCGGCCCGGCCCGGCCCGAACCTTCAAGCCCGCAGACATCTGTGTTTTAGGACTTCCTTTCTGTCTGCTGGACTCACTGCTCTCCTCATCTCTCCGCTGCTCTGCCTCTGTCAGCGGCCACCTCCCACACCTGTGCTTATCCCGAGACTCCTGCAGCTCCCTTCTGACTGAGCGGTTAGGATGACAGCGGCCAGCACAGGGCACAGACCACGACCACGCCCCTGGCTGTGTCCTCACTTTCTTCCTGGGTACCTCTTTTCCTCTTAACTCTCATGCTTCAAGTCTTTAGTAAAATCTCTTTTAATAAACTCTGACTCTGCCTCAAAAGTTAATGGCAATAGAAGGTCCCCTACAAGGCGTTTACAAGGCTACAAAATGGAAATATATCTCTTAGCATTCATTAACATGCATCTGAAGCTAAAGAAAAGTCAGGAAACACACATAGCCTCCAGACTTACCTCAATGTACGCTGGCTCTGTACCAGCGGGGGCGATGTGGGGCTGCCAGTCTTTGGGAGGCTTTGAAAGGTACTTGGAATCTGTTACAACCCACTTGAGCCGAGGCCAACCTAAATCAAACCCAGAGTGAAAATTGAGTTGCCTAAGCCACGACTGAAAGACTTCACACTGAACTAGTCATCTTAAATGTCTAGAGCATATTAAGATCATTTCATCATCAATAACATACTTCATTTTTATTAGGTTTTAGTGAAAATCACCAATTATAGCTTCTTTCAAGAGAGCACTTGTTACACATGATAAATGCAGGCCTTGGCGTGCCTCAACAATGGGGAGACCAGTTTCTCAATAGAAGCCTGCGAAGCCTTGGGTCCTGGTGGCCCGGCTTTAACATACACACTGCAGTAGCAGCCTTTCCGGCCAGTAGCCCAAAGGGTACGAGTGTGGCTACAGAATCAGACAGACTGGGTTCAATCCACTGCTTGGCCATTTGTTAGCTGGGATTTGAGGATTCTGTTTCTCAATTTCCTATCTGAAAAACAGGATAATTACTGTACCTATTTCTAATGACTAAGAACTAAAAACAAACAAACAGAAAACCACACAGGAAGCCCTTAGCTGTTCCTCTCAGGAGGCAGAGGCAGGTGGATGTCCATGGGTTCGAGGACAGATTGGGTTTCACAGAGAAACCCTGTCTTGACAAAAGCAGAAAAAAAGACAAAGAAAACTACAGCACTTGGGCTTGACTTCCCCTTGGTAACTTGGGTATGCGCATTACTTACTCACCTTTAAACTGCACAATCTCTCCGTTCTGAGTTTTTGGCAGGCCCTTCAGACAGATTTCACTGGTGAGAGCCAAGGCAATCCCGCAGCTCCCTAGCAAGAAGCCAATCTGTTGACCTCCGGCATCCTGTGGAGGAAAATCATGAGTGAGCACAGTGAGGGTGTGAGCGTGAGTGAGCACAGGGAGGGTGTGAGCGTGAGTGAGCACAGTGAGGGTGTGAGCGTGAGTGAGCAAGAACACACCATGCTTAGCAACAGCACTCGGGGACGCTCCAGCCACTGTGCCATGGAGCCAGGCAGCCCGAGACAACACGGCTGCACATACTCTCTGTGGTGGTCTCCTGAGTACGAGCAGACCTGCTCTAACTGACACTGCACACCCAAGCCACTGCGCCCCGCTCCGGCTCTCAGGCAAAGGGACCAATTCTAACACTTTTCTTTTCCCAGCCCTGCCCTCAGATCTAAGAGGGACAGCTACTCAGGCCGGAACAACAGGAATAACGCAGATGGATATCAAAGGCCCTATTTCCAGACAATTACACCAAATCTTATCTTCCTTTATTCTTCTACTTTAAAGGAAAAAGATTTAACTTTAAATAGCAGCAAAAGCAACCAAAGGCAAAGTCTGAAGTGTTCACACACCACCTTTGAAGCAGCGTTAGGAAACTATACAAGTACTCTCAACTTCAGACTTCCTGAGTAACAAAACGACAGACTCTATTCATCAACTAAAACTTTAGCAATGCTACCAAGTTGTTGATTACTTAAAAAATGTGCTTTCTTATAAATCAACATTCTCCACCATATTAGTTTCTAACATCAGTTCTCAGTAATAAACAGGGAGAAACCAACCTAAGTGGAAATCTGCACTGCCATTTTTACTATAAGGGCTGACATGGTCCGAACAAAATTCTCCATTCCGGATCAGTCACCTCCACCACTGCGCCATCACCTTTCCACTCAGCCCTTCTGGGATGTGTGAAATGGTTAAAGGAATTTCCGTGATAGAATGAGTCTGAAGGAACGGCACTCTATGAATGGCAACCACTGTACACTCAATACATGCCTCCTATGGTTTTTAAAATGGTAATGTTGTAACAATTCTTTCATAGATGAAATGTGCTTGACACTCTTATTTACATAATTTTTGAAAACTTTCATGTTTTTGGAAAGTAGAGTATTTAAAAATATGATCATGTTGCTTCTTCTTTTTCCTTTCTTTTCTTTTCTGAGACAGTATCTATCTGTGTAGCCCTGGTTGTCCTGGATCTCGCTATGTAGACCAGGCTGGCCTCGAACTCACAGAGATCTGCCTGCCTCTGCCTCCCGAGTGCTGGGACTAAAGGCATGTGTCACCACGGCCCAGCAATCACATTGCTTCTAGTGTCACTGAGTCAGTCCAGTGCCTACCGTATCACAGCAAAAGACATTAACACAGCGATATTACCTTTCTGGTCAGTGGTACTTCTATGGGTACTGGAATCACCTCTGCCAGGAGACATCCATAAAAAGCCACCATAAACATTACAGGATCATTGTTGGGGTAAACCAAGGCAACCTAAAATCCCAAAAAACATTCAACAACAGTGGAGAACAGACTGGTTAACTCTATGCACATAGAACATCTTCCATAAACACAGTAAGTCAAATATTGAATAGTCATTCCTTCTGAAGGAAATTGAGGGACTGAGAAGGACAAGAGCATCTGTTGGAGCACCATCATCCCCACAGTTATACCCTATATCCTAGGGGTTGGTGATGCAGCACAGAGAGCATTTGCCCCACATAGGCCCCATTTGCAATTCCTAGCAACACCAAAAAGCAAAGCCAAAATCATAAAACTTACACATTTTGAGAAATAAAAATGCAATTCATTATCATTATGGTAAAATGTTTCATTTAATCTTAGTTGTGACTTAGTAGCAAACAGCTTGCCTAATATGTTAATTACTCAGGCGGTCTAAGGCGATTTACATAGCACAGGGTTAATAGCATAAATGTGGTGGCTATCTCAAGACAGAGCAGCATCTACTTTAAAGCTGTGCCTCTCCCAGGAAATGCACACTGGGACTACAGAGGCCTGCTCTTAACTACTTAACCCCATCACTCCCTAGTCACTCAGCATGCAGTGTTCCAGCGTGAAGGCATCTGGTAACATATGAACAACTGCAAATACAGTCGACTCCCCAAGAGGTGAGCAAGGAGAACACTGAAAGCCCTATGTGTTCAGGCCTGCGATTTCTTCTGCGAAGTCACAGGGATGACTCACCTTCCTACTTTACTCAAGGATGCAAAAACACACATCTCACTATACCTCGACGCTTGTTCTGCGCTTGGATAGTCACAGATTACCATCTGAGATCTAATCATACCACTGGATTATTTTTAATTTTTAAAAGTTCCCTTTTATGTAGTGTTACTGTTTGTGTATGGTGTGTATGTGAGCGCAGGGCGTATGCCATGGTGCATGTGTGCTTAGAGGTCAACTTCCAGGTCTCCCTCCACAGCGAGGTTTGGACAGCAAGCCCTTGACCCGGTCAGCCATTCCTCCGGCCCCTCAGTTGCTGGATTCCTGTTTCTTCTCCATTTGCAATCAAGTCTTTAAACTCACTCCAAAGGTGAGTTCAGTCTAAACCTTCAAACTGCCCTAGAGGTCTAAAAGTGACTAATTCCACAGAACCATTTCTTTACTGCTCACAAATGGCCATCTTGACATTTGGGTAGACACAACATCACCTGCTTAAAATTTAGTGAGCCATGGAAAATCCCCAGTGTCCGTTTGTATAAGTAAAAGCTACACTTTAAGTACTTCTGACATCTTGTAAAGCTGTTGAAAGAGTTACTTGAGGGCCCAGGAGATAGTCTAAAAGTGCTTGCCACCAAGCCTGAAGGCCTGAGTTTAATCGCTGGGATTGACTTAGTGGAAGGGGAGACCCGGCTCCACGAGCTATCCTCTGACCTGCACGTGAACACTCATGTACACACACACACACACACACACACACACACACACACACACACACACACACAAGTGTAAAAAATATTTTCTTAAAATAGTTAGTTTAAGAGATTCTGTGATCATTAGTCTACTGAAAAGAAAGCCGGGGCCAGTGGGGCGGTGGAATGGATGAGGGGCTTGCCGTGCGGTCCAGATAGTCTGAATCGATAGAAATCCAGAACCAATTCCCAAGAGTCATCTCAAGACCTCCACTAGACCCCACCCCCCACAAGTCAACAGATGAAAGTAAGTTAATTCATAAAAACTGCTGTGGAGGAGCTGGGTTTTCATTCTACAGATAAACAGTAATGCTGAATGGTGGGGAGTAATCGTATTCAGTACATTACTAACAGGAAAAGAAAAAAATGGAAAATTAAACAGCTGTAATGTCACTTCCAATTAAGAACTAAATGAACAGTGTCAACTTGCCTTTAACAATTTTAAGAGCCAGTTTTATAAAGACAAAGACTGGATTCAACATCAAAGTATTTACCTTTAGAAAGATTTAATTTCCCTTTTTATTACCTCAGTTTACCAACAAGCAGCTCCAGAAAGAGGCCCGAAGCCTCTCAATCACAAACCAGCGCCTAGCACTGAGCTAGACCTTTGGGACTCTAAACTGAACTGGTTTTTATTGTCTAAAGATAAGAGTGACATTGACTTCTGGAAAGATGCTCAGGGTTAAACGCACTGGCTGGTCTCCCAGGGACCAGGGCTGCCTTTCCTGCACACGCGGTCGCTGACGACCACTTGCAGCTCCAGTCCTAGGGAACCTGACACCCTCTTCTGACATCCTGCACCAGGCACACGGTACAGACACACACGCAGGCAGCACACCAAGCATGTGTGCTGGGGGACGGTCTGCATGTCAGATTGCTCTGACTGGTCAATAAATAAAACAATGATTGGCCAGTGACCAGGCAGGAAGTATAGGCGGGACTAACAGAGAGGAGAACTGTGAGAACAGGAAGGCGGAGGAAGAGACTGCCAGCCTCCGCCATGACAAGCAGCATGTGAAGATGCGGTAAGCCACGAGCCACATGGTAAGGTATAGATTTATAGCAATGGACTAATTTAAGATGTAAGAACTAAAAAAAGAACTAGATAGCTAGAAGCCTGAGCCATTAGGCCAAACAGTTTAAATAATATAAGCATCTGTGTGTTTATTTTATAAGTGGGCTGTCGGACTGCCAGGGCTTGGCGGGACCTGGGGAAAAAACTCTCCAGCTACACATATAACACAAATAAATAAGCATCTTAAAAAGAAGTTATGTGAATCTTACTATTGTACAACAAAAGCCCAGAGTGCATGTATCAGAAACAAAAGAACATCACCTTCTAAACAAAACAGAACAAATTACCCTGTCTCCAGGTTTTAACACAGGTTCATTTTTGGTCCCCAGTTTATTAAGCAGCGTGTAGGCCAACTTTAAACTTCTGCTCCACAACTTTCCTGGGAAAAGAAAACAATCAGACAGAAAAAATTATAAGCCTATTCCAGCGAGCGAGCGCTGACTAAGACAAGGCCAGTCAGGAGCGGTTGTGGTGTCAGTACCACCCTCCCCCCCACAGCAAGTCTCCCTGCAAGCAGCCTCTCACGAGCCACTCTGGTCCCAGGACAAAGAGAACGTCACCCTGCCCGACTTAATATTTCAGTTCTTTTCTGTGACTTTTTTTTTCTTTCTCTTTTTCAGACACGGTCTCACCATTTAGTCCTGGCTGTCCTGGAACTTGCTATGTAGACCAGGCTGGCCTCAAACTCACAGACATCTGTCCACCTCTGCCTCCCAAGTGCTGGGAATAAGGGTGAGTGCCACCGATACATGGCTCATATCACAATATATTTTTATGATATAACAAGAGCATCCTTAAGTATCCCTTTAAAGAGAGGACACCATTTTTTGTTTGTTTTACAACACAAGACTCAAAAACAGCGGATTCTGTCCCAGGCTTCTCTGAAGAACCGAGCATGTAGGTCTCATCAGCTACTTGAGACTGGAGGAATTAATTCAAATAATATTAAAAAAAGAGCAAGCTGAGCATGGGCTTGGGCCTGACCTTCAGGAGGCTGTGGCAGGAAGATTTCTTCTGGTTTGAGGCCAGGCTGGTTACATGTGAAATTCTGTCTTATAGAACAATCTACAACAGAACTAAGATCAGAAGAGAAGTTAGTTCTAGGAGCCATGTGGCTGTACTCCTCAGTGTCAAATGACCGTGACAGGACCCTTGGGGGGGGGGGGCTGGAAAAATGGAAAAGTACTGAGTTTTATTCTTTATAGAACTGTGTGCTTCTTAGAAGAAGATGCAGACTGAAGCTCTAAGTGATGGTTTTTCTTCTCCATAACCATTAATACTGACAAAATACTTTCTAAACCCCTCCTCTAGCCAGGTGCCATGGTTCATGCCTGAAACCTCGGAAATCAGGAAGCTAAGAGCAAGGCCATCCTTGGCTACAAGTTTGAGGCCATCCTGGGCTACAAAGATGTTGTCTCAAAAACACAACACAAATCAAAAACAAATCCTGCTGTGGGGTGGTCTGTATGTCAAATGCTCTGATTGGTCAATAAATAAAACACTGACTGGCCAGTGACCAGGCAGGAAGTATAGGTGGGACTAACAGAGGAGAAAAGAGGGAACAGAAAGACAGGGGGAGACACTGCCAGCCGCCGCCATGACAAGCAGCATATGAAGATGCCGGTAAGCCACGAGCCACATGGCAAGGTATAGATGTATGGAAATGGATTAATTTAAGATATAAGAACAGTTAGCAAGAAGCCTGCCACGGCCATACAGTTTGTAAGCAATATAAGTCTCTGTGTTTACTTGGTTGGGTCTGAGCGGCTGTGGGACTGGCGGGTGACAGAGATTTGTCCTGACTGTGGGCAAGGCAGGAAAACTCTAGCTACAAAATCCTCTCTAAGGAAAATGTTTAGCAATCACTCCACTTGGAACATAGGGTCTAATTAATAACTGAGACATATCCAACTGAGAAACACCAAGAGAAGCACTACCCCCAATCCATGAGAACGCTTAGCGCAGTGGGGACCCACCGTATGTGAGGGTGTAGACTGGTTTCCCGGACACGTCCAGCCCGGTCAGGCAGGGGCACTTGGCTTGGGTAGAGCCCCAGCGCTGCAGGGCGGATTCTAGTGCAGGGGGCCAGTTACAGATGACTCCGAGGGGCTCGCCCTTCACTGGCGTCATCTGTCGGCCCTCAGGCTTTGGCTGGTTGGGATCTGGCTGAGGTACTGCAGCAAACAGGCAAGAAGATGAAGTAAGTTCATGTGCCTCTAACACAACTCTAACCTCAAACACATTTCTTCCTCTGGGTCTCTGGCTTATTCTTGAAGAGAACGGAAGACCTTAGGGCTTCCATCATCCTCCAGAGGAGTCACAGCGTCCAGGGCAGGGCTGGCTCTTACTCTCCTGGCTCCTCACAGAGCCCCAATGCAGGGGCTGCTCATCAGTGTCAGCTGAGCAGAGCTGTGAGGGACAGAGATGAACACCTACGCCAAGACTCAGAGGGGCTGTTTATGCTCATTGATATACCGTAGGTTTTGCTACAGTGAACAAGGATTATTCAAATCATTCTTTAACTCCTACTTTTTTTTTGTTTATTGTTGGTTTTGGTTGTTTGTTTTTGTTTTAAGACAGGGTTTCCCTAAGTAGGCTTGGTTGGCTTGGATCTCGATCTGTAGACCAGGCTGGACTTGAACTCATAGAGAGCCACCTGCCTCTGTCTCCCACTGTGCTCAGGCTTAAATTATACATTCTCACAGAAGGAGAGATGATTTACATATAGACTAAACAGTCAAGCATTCACTGTGTGCAACCATGTGCCCAGACCATGGTAAACCAAGAAGGGGAACAAGCAGGGGTGGAGCCTGGCCCACAGTCTCAGAGTTCAGGAGGCTGCAGGAAGAACAAGTTCAAACTGAAGGTCTGCCAGGGAATACTGCCCAGACTCTTGTCTCCACAAGCACCTGGAGAAAACAAACACGCACGGACAGCCAGAGCTCACCAGGGGCACAGACAGCAGTGAGGATAACCCTCAACTCGGTGTGATCATCCGGGGGCGATGTTCTCGCTCCTCTCCTCCCTGAGTCGTAGTCACCCACTGCCCAGCTTGTCCTGGTTTTGCTGTGTGCATGCTCCCAGTGCATGCTGTAGCTGTATGTGAGCCAGAGAGATGGCTCAGTGGCTCAGAGCACTGACTGCTCTTCCAGAGGACCCAGGTTCAATTCCCAGCACCCACATGTCAGCTCACAGCTCTCTGTGACTCCAGTGCCAGGGGATCTGATGCCCTTGTCTGACCTCTGTGGGCACTAAGTATGAAAATGTGACACATACATGCATGAGGGAAAATACCATCCATGCAAAATAAATTAGTATAGACAACTAAATATAAGAAGAAAGCTGTTCGTTGTAACTCACTATTATGATGGATTTGTAGGAATTTGTTTTGACTCCTTCTTTTCCCAGAGTTAGCATACAAAGTGATGGGTTTCCTAACAGCATTTTTTTTTCTTTATTTTTAAAAAGATTCATTTATTTATCACATATACAGTATTCTGTTTGCATGTGTCCCTGCAGGCCAGAAGAGGGAGCCAGATCTCATTACAGATAGTTGTGAGCCACCATGTGGGTGCTGGGAATTGAACTCATGACCTCTGGAAGAACAGCCAGTGTTCTTAGCCTCTGAGCCATTTCTCAGGCCCTAACGGCATTTTTATACGTCTGATTCATGACACTTCCTTCTTGCTCATCCCCACTCCCAGCTCTCCTACCCACTCCTGCTGGCCTCCCTCTCCCTAGATCTCATTTCTGCCTCTTAGGCCCACCTCTGCTAAGACTTCCTTCTCCTCTCTCACAGTCCTTTTTTCAGGACCTGCACACACACATTTAAATCTAGATTCTGTAAGAAAAACCATGCTGTCTTTATGTTTCTGAGTCTGGCTTATTTACTTAGTGTAATGAACTCTACTTGCATCCATTTCTTTGAATTCATTCTTCTACTGACAAAATATTCATTTCACTCCTTATTTTGCATAATTTTCAGACCCTTACAGACCCTTCAAGGTAGTCTACATTTAACAGGACTACCCAGGAGTGACTGCTAATAAACTGTCTCGTCTCTACAGAGACTGTACACCTGGTAGGCACAGTTTTCCACTAGGGCTTCATGCACACTTTTTCATGCTTCCAAAAGATACTGGTGTTTTCTTTTCCAAAAATGACCATTAGTCAAAGAAATCTATTTACAATTAGGAAAACATTGTTATAACCCGACAAAGATCAAAACTAGTCTCCAACATGCCAAATTCCATTACTATTCTGATATGATTATACTCTACATCTAGACTCAGGACAGAAAAACAAACAAACCCCACAAACACAAGTACAAACTGATCGGGCTTACTAATAGCTCCTAACATAGTAAGAGTCTGCCCCCCACCCCACCCCCACCCCTCGTCTCCCTCCCTCTTCTACCTCACCTTTTTTTATGGAGGTCTATTCATCAGCTTCAGTCATAGAGAATGGCTGTTCTTTACCCACACTCACACCCATTCCATTCCCTTTTCAAGTTTTCTGATGAAATCCAGGCTATCATGATTTCATCAGTGAATGTATTTAATTATTGCACAAATAAATTCTGATGACTGATGGACTGATCTCCTGTCTTCAACCTCACACACAGAACTAACCTCTTACCTCCCTACTGGCTAACCTGTTTCCATGCTGACTCATTTTAGAACCGACTGGTTTAAGTCACACACAGCATGAGGAAGGAAGTGTGTCTGCATGTCTTTACCATCCACCACTCTGTCCTCTAGAAAGTCATGTGTGTGCACTGATTAGCAGATCCAGTGAAAGGCCCATCTGTATTAGAAGAAAGAGCAGGCAAAGCCTTGAGGCTGGATTTGTTACCTACACTCTCAGAAAATACAAATTGCAAATAACTCTACAAATGATGTATTTCTAGGTCAATGAGATGGTTCAGCAAATAAAGGTGTTTGCCATCAAGCCTACTGACCTGAGTTTGGTCCCTACATAGTGAGAGAGAAGGAACTTTCAGAAATGACTTCTGACCTCCACACATGTGCGCATACTCCCATCCCCACCCCCCACCCCCCCACAAACACACACTGCATTACGCACTTGTGACTCGTGACCAGGTTCAGACCACACACACTAACAAGGACAGCTCTAGGCTCCCGGTCCTCCTTGCCCATCTCCCGACACCTAACACACAAAAGCTCCTTAGGGCAAACATCACAGCCGCACCAACTCCTTGAGTAAAAACCTCGCTACCTTCAGCCCTGACCGCACACACCCCGCGTGTTCTGGCTGCTAGTGAGGGTGTGCTGTAAAAACCTCGCTACCTTCAGCCCTGACCGCACACACCCCGCGTGTTCTGGCTGCTAGTGAGTGTGTGCTGTAAAAACCACGCCACGTTCAGCCCTGACCGCACACACCCCGCGTGTTCTGGCTGCTAGTGAGGGTGTGCTGTAAAAACCACGCCACGTTCAGCCCTGACCGCACACACCCCGCGTGTTCTGGCTGCTAGTGAGGGTGTGCTGTAAAAACCTCGCCACCTTCAGCCCTGACCGCACACACCCCGCGTGTTCTAGCTGCTAGTGAGTGTGTGCTCCTGGCACTTTTACTACTACCTTCCACAATTTCTTCAGAGTCGTCCACAAAAAATTCCTTTAAGGGGGGCCTTTTGGGTCGTTTCAGAGTGCTGAGAAGCTGCTGGATTTTTGTGGATACTCTGCTATTGACAGGAACACCTGTAAGGGGAAAATAATGGTAAATTCAGTTAAAATCATTGAGTTTAATAAATACATTTTATTTCCTCAACTACCTCAAAAGACTTTTCTTCTTCTGAAAAACTTAACTATTAAGTTTTTTATCACCAGTGAGACTTCTAAGGAATTCAATGCCTTGTTTATGAACACTTTGTGCCTTCTCTTTCTTACTCTTCTCCCCCTCCCGCTTTCCTCCCAGATTTGACTTCTAATGACATTTGACCCTGGCCCATCTTCTTCTGTTCGGAAGGGACCAAACTTTCTGACAACAGGAGACCCATGCAGCGGCGCCGCCGTGCTGAGCACAGGCTGGCAGGTCCGCAGGCTTCCTCTTCTCCCGTACGGCTTTCTCTTCCGCACTTGGTTCACAGTTCCTTTTACAAACACCAAGTGTGAAAATGTGACAAGAGGGGCTCTGCACGTGACAGTGAGTGAGCCCGTGGCCGTGCCTCTGCAGCCAGGACCACGGGGAGGAGCTGCCGGGCAGACCTGAATCTTCCCAGTTTAACAGAGGGACTCATACCATCAGCCGTATCCATAAGGCTGGACCTGTTGGATCCTTTGTGCATGCCTTTAACTATGCCGGAAGGGGGCAGGTCAATGTTTGCTGGGCGAAGTGAGGAGGAGGAGGAGGAAGAGGTAGTTGCAGTGACGTCAGGAGGAGCTGAGACATTCTCTGAGAGGAAAAGACAAAACTTAAGATAACCAACGCTCAATCTTTTGCTTTAGAAGGAATAAAACTCATTAGCTCTTTTAAAACAAACTTTAAGAACTATTTACTTATTTACTTCTTATTATCGTGCTTTGTGAGTTAGTTCTCTCCTTCCGCTGCAGGTCGCAAGGATGGAACCTGTCACGAGGCTTGCCTGCCAGCGCTCTTACCTGCTCAGCCATCCCACCAGCCCTTAAACAAACTCTTTAATCAAAGTCTACCAGCAACTTACTGGAGGAAAATGAAGGTAAACCAGAGTTTATCAGCTTTCCAAAATGGTCATTTTCAAGATTTGAGTAGCTTTAGTTATTAGGTCAAATCACATAGTCAACGTTTCTCAAAAACATTATTTTCTATACAGAGTGGAGACTAGGAATCCAATGTTGTAAAGTCACTTCAAAATAGAAGCAAAGTGGGTAAGTGGCCAACTTGCCGCTGGTTCTCTAGTTCCGTGGGCACTTCCTTATGTCATGTTGTATCTAGGACGTTTCCCTTCTACCAAAGCCCAAACAGTGCCTTACAGGGGCTCAGAGACCCAGATTCTCAAAGGAAAGAAAATGAGATAAAGTCTACTTTTACTTTTGATAAAAATGGCCCACAGTTCAGTTGGATCCACTTTCTTTCTAGCTCTAAGTAGAGATTAACCCACATTTGCTATTTCACGGAAAAGTTCTTTTGAATTTTATTTTTTGAGTCAGGATCTCATCAGCCAGGTCAGCGGATCCTCCTGCTTCTACCTTCCAAGTGCTGGGATCACAGTGTGCAGGATCTCACTCAGTGCTGGCAGTGAACTGATGTGACAAAGTGAGTGACATCGTTGGAAGAAAGCTACTGAAGGAGGATATGCCACACCAAAAAACCCAACAAATCAGAAACTATCTTCTGAAGAAGGCAATTAGAGGATGCAAACCATATGACATAAAATTAGTGAAAACCCACCAAAAGGGATTAAAGGGGGAGATGTAATTTCTACGATCAATTTAAGAGAAAGGTTTCGGCACCTCGAAGGTCTATGAGTATTAGTTTTATAAATAATACTTTCTGACGCTTGAAAAATAACTGGTATGAGTCCAATGTGGTAAAATGTGGCCAAAAAAAGCATTAAGTGTTTTCTTTTTCTGATTTTCCTGTTTCAGCCTCGTGGGACTCACTTCAGGTGTGTGTGCGCCATCACACTCCGCTGTTTTCTGTTTCGTTTTGTTTTTCAAGAAAGGATTCTGCTATGTCGCTCAGGTTGGCCTTAATTCTGTCTCAACCTTCCACATGCTGGGTTACAGGTGTGTGCCACCACACCCAATTAGAAATGTATATTTTATTTGATCCAGCATGTCCACCTGAGCAATTTTGTAAGAGGACAGCACTGGACACTATTTCATTGTCCAAAATCAGGGAGCGGCGATGTAGGCTAAGGCATAGAAAAACAGTGGTGTACTTTAAAATCACAAGAATAGCATAATTGTAAATATACAAAAGGTGTTCAGGATAAATTGCTAAGAAAAGCAGCTAGGGACTGGAGAGATGGCTCAGAGGTTAAGAACACTGGCTGTTCTTCCAGAGGTCCTGAGTTCAATTCCCAGCACCCACATGGTGGCTCACAAACAACTGTAATGAGATCTGTAAGCTCCCTCTTCTGGCCTGCAGGGACACATGCAAACAGAACACTGTATACATAATAAGTAAATAAATCTTTTAAAAAAAAAAAAAAAGAGGGCTGGAGAGATGGCTTAGCCATTAAAGGCTAGGCTCACAACCAAATATATATATATATATATATATATTAATAAAAACAAAAAAAAGAAAAGAAAAGAAAAGCAGCTAGTGACTTAATTACATCTAGGACAGTTTACTCTTTACAAAATCCAAGTCAAATCTCTACACGATCTTAACTAGATCTAGGCTGCACATCAAGATGGCAATACCAACATGGGAACCATACGACTACTGTCTTCTCTCCTTTTGAGGCAGGGTCTCTCTGCATAGCCCTGACTATCCTGGGAACTCATTGTGGGGCCAGGCTGGTCTTGAACTCACAGAGAACTGCTTTCCTCTGCCTCCTGAATGCTGGGATTAAAGGCCTGAGCCACCACACCTTGTCTCTTCTAAGGAACAGGAATTACTTCCATAGGAGCTAATATCCAAAAGCAATATTACTGCAACTCAACTAAAAAAATTAACAGAAAAACAGGAAGTCACATGAAATCATCTTAAAAAAATCCAGACAATGTAAAGTGGGTATCTGGATTTCTTTCTCAAGTGGAACAGCGTTGTTTGTTTGTTTGTTTGTTTGTTAAGACATACTCATCAACAAATCCTCCCGGCACAGCTCAGCTGCTCGTGCTCTGGGACAGAGTGGAGGGAAACACGCCGGCCGGCCTGTGTATGGCTGCGCGGGGAGGCTCAGTGACACAGAGTAGAGCCAAGCGTGCAGGGAGGGTCGCCATGGCGATGTGTGGCTTTGAATGTGGAATTATATCCCCAAGGTAGCTAGCTTCATTGAAAAGCATAACCTACACTGTAATCTTCCCTTCTTTTCTTTTCGGAAGTCCAACTGAAGTAGCATATAAAGCGATACAGAAGTTACTGAGACAACAATTAGACAAGGGGACAACGTGACTGGTGCTCAAGAAGGAAGAGTAAGACATCAGACACGGCTCGAGGGCACGACTCAGTGCGCTGGTGCCGCCAAGTAGGGAAATCAGAGACCTGAGAAAAACAAAAACAGACTCACAAACACATAAAGCAGAGCTAAGCGACAGCTGTGCACACAGCAGCAGCAGCAGCAGCAGCAGCAGCAGCCAGAGCTCGGGGTGCCGACCCTCGGCCGCACACTTCTCATGCAGCAACATCACCGCAGCAAGCAACATAAACCCAGTCTTTAGTCAGGCACAAAACGGCCTTGCTGACCATGGCTCAGTGGAGAATTTGCTCAGATTAAGTATGTCGTGTTTTATGCAATATAGACGATATTCCTGGGAAATCTGAGATGCTAATATTTTAGTAGCTCTTGATATAGGGACTACTTCTTTTCTGGGATAAACCCATACTCAGACTGGTTTTATATTTTGCAGCTTCAGTATTGCTTATGGAAATAGATATGGCTTCAGGTGAGCAACATTTCTATCAATAATGCTGAGGATACCAATTACTCCTGCAACAAATACATTGCTGGTGTTTCCATCTCTGCCTCACGATCATATTTTTCAGGTCCTATTGAAAACCTAACACAACCATACACTGTTTCCAGGATACTGGGTGCCAAATGGAACATGAGGTGGGCTTCTTGGGTAGATCCAACTCCTACCTATTCGGGTATTGGCAAATACATCAGCTAGAGACCCACTGGTTCCTTTGACCTCTCCGTGGGACAGCGTAGAAGATGCAGATGAAGAGGTGGACGATCCCTGAATCGAGCGGTTGATCCAGGACTCGGCATTCTGCAAGCTTTGTTGCAAGGCAGCAGAGAGCGCGGCCTGGCGTCTCAGGGAGCCCTCATCCTCAGAGGCCGAAGACGTGTCTGTGTGGAATTAGAAAAAAAGAAGTCTCGATCCTGCCTTGAGCACAGACTGTTCAGTTCTTGCTCATTGACTGCACACCCAATGTTGATGAAACCAGCAAAACACTAGCATTCTCAAGTTAGATTAACAGGTGACATTAAGACGTCGGGGAGAGATCTGTGGGCCATAACTCGAAAAACAGAATGCTGACCTTAGAAGACCATGTTAAACTTTAAGAAAATCTTTTAAGAAATTAACTCTTTTCCTGTCCTGAGATTAACTGATGTCTAAATTCTTCTGGTTTCCCTGTGACAGGTGGACCACATGGGCTTATGGGTATTTGTCCCCGGAGTCTACTTCTGCTGAGAGGAGTTAGAGAGAGCAGGGTGATGGAGACTCCAGTGTGGTGAGAAACTGTCTTAGCCTGGAGGAGCTGCTTGCTCTACTGGACGCGCTAGCTGGGCACAGGGCACAGGGAGGTTTCCACATGTGACGGAGTCAGTCACAGAAGACTAAGAATGCCTGGGGCCTTGACTGAGCCTGGCTCTGACTTTAGGAAGTAGGCCTAAATTAGAACAGCTGGCTGAAAGAATCGAAGTGCACACAGCAGTCGAAACTGGGGAGAAGCTAGAGTTATCGCGGGTTGGAGTCCGTAAGGCAGTCGAGAGTCAGCGTCTGACCCGAGAAAGACTTCTAAATGGCATTGGCCGGCTCAAATTAGTATCTGGGGGTTGAATGAATTTTGTGACTTTGTTCTTGTTTGCGTAGCGCTAAGAATGGCAGCCAGGGCCTCATACATGCTGTATAAGCGAACCACCAGATTCTTCCCAGTCCCATTCAGTTTGTTTGTTTGTTTGTTTTTTAATGAAAAACGTCACACTCAATTCTGCAGAAATTTTTTGCCTAATTCAGATGAATTGGTAGGTTCAAGACATGGAGTGGTTTAAAGAGCCAGAGAAATAAACAAGAGGGTAGGAAAATTGCGAGCACTCCACACTAGGAAATTGCACTACAAACAACACAAACAAAAACCCTATGGTCATTCAGAACCCAGAAGTCTAATCCATAAGCAATGGCCACAACCCTTGCTTCCTGTTCAGGATGAGCAGCAATGCGTCACCTCACATTAAAGGAGACCTACGGCCCAAGAACTGTGATGGTTTCCAATGCACTAATGCTGGAAACTGTGTCAGGTCCTGGGGATGCTGAGACGTATGAATGCCTATGAGAGAGTGTGTGCCACTAAAAAGCCATATGGTGTGGTACCATCAATACACAACCCCGCACAAGAACACAACGTGTGTGAGAAATGGTACAAGCCAAGACTCTGGGAGGAGGACTGAGCTCAGCAGGGTTAAGCACTGCAATGTAAGCAGAGCACGTTACAAGGAGGTCTGAGATGGGGGTGTGGAGGGGAATAGACAGACAGACACAGACAGATGGAGACCCCGAGATCTCAGAGGTAAAGCAATAAGGCTCCCTAAAGAAAAGAGTGCATATATAGCAGGGAACAGTCAAAGGAAGACACAAAGAGAGTGGCACTTAACAGAAGTATTTTCTATAAGTTCTAGAAAATACGCTAAAATTTCAATTCTGTAACAAGCAGAAAGTAGGGGCAGGGAAGCAATGTGATGTGTGACCCTCGCCATGAGGATCGAGTATCTCTGGGTGACATCTCATAATCACACAAAGTCCTCTGGATTTACAAGCTGCCTCCACAGTGTCATTTTAATTTGTGTACGTCTAAAACTAGAATAAATCAGTTTTTACAGACAGTAAAGCCAGTATTTTCATTATTGGATTGATGGAAAACGGACTGTATTATGTTCCTGTCTTTGGTCAATTGTGTAATTAGGTGTAGTGTTTCAATTCAATTACCTGCTTTGCCTGCCAGCCCTCCTCTGGGTGTTTAATGGCTTACAGCTAGGGAACTGTTAGGCCGGGGAAGGAAAACATGGATGGCTTTGCTGTCTCTTCCATCTGAACTCCCAGGCCACCACTTCATTTGTAACTTGGGGTTAAAATGACTCATTGTGAAGCCTCTTTATCCACTCAGCAAACATGCCTGCGCCCTGTACCAGGGGGTGGGGATGAGACGCTGAGGAGACACAGCCCTGCTTCCACAGGCCTTGGAGCCCCGCGGGGTTCGTGCTCCTCTGCCCTGCCGGGTGCAGCGGGGACAGCGGGGACAGGAAACAAGGCCTATTTGAGGACACTAATGCGACGGAAGGCAGCTGAGGCACACCGAGCAAGCAGAGCGCGGTGAGGGCAGTCAGGAGCACACGGCCATGCAGGAAACACGCCGTCCAGAGGCCACCGTGGGGCCAGCAGGCTGCTCACAGCCACCGGTCGCCATCAGGCCCTCTCATGGCCTAGGGTGCTGATAAAAAGGGGTTTCTGTCTTTCTGAACTGCCGTGGTGCCTGGTGTTTTCCTCAGTAACAATTTAAACAAGGCACTGAAGACATGGCTCGGCGGTTCAGAGCGCCTACTTCTGTGTCGGGGTACCCGGGTTTGGTCCCAGCACCCTGTGAGGGGGTCACAAACACCTGCAACTCTAAGGGATCTGATGGCACTTTCTGAACTCTGTGGGCACGGCACACACAAATCAATGAAAGGAATCTTCTTTTGAAAAGACAGAATAACTTCAGTAGCCTATTCCTTCCTTTACAATGAGCAGGGACTGGGGAGCCGGCCCAGCAGTTTGGAGCGTCTGCTCTGAACTCTTCCGGCGGACCCGGGTTTCATTCCCAGCACTGACCTGGCAGCTCACCAACGCTGCCAACTCCAGCTCCTGGAGCTCCGGCGGGCGCCCTTTCCTGGCTTCCATCAATGCCGAACATATATGGTGCATACATACACACGCAGACAAAACATCCATATACATAAAAATGATGAATGAGAGCAAAGAGAATGGAAACCTGAAGGCTGGTAGAAAAGGAGAAAACCATCTGCTCTGACGCTCACACAACCCAAGGAGTGTGGCTGCTACAGGTCACAATTCCTGTAGACTTCTCAGGGAATGTGCAGTGCTCGGCGCTGCTCTGGTGCTCTGGCCGCTGCGTTTTCTTTCTTTCCTCTTTTTGAGAGCAAGTTTTGCTCTGCATCTGAGGCTGATGTGCACTAGTGGTCTCCCATCCTGTCTCCTGGGGACGGGTTTACAGGCATGGGCCACAACACTTGCCTGAGCCTACAACTTTAAAAAAATAAAATAAAAATGAGCGCTTTTTAATATTATTATTTTGTAGCGTAATAAAAAATTGTCAACCAGGAATATTTGTAGAAATTTGGGCAAGATTAAAATATTTCTTTTGGTTTGGGGAATTTAAAAAAAAAAAAACATTTATTTATTTGTTGGGGAGTGTGTACATGCCATGGTGCACTTATGGAGACTGGAGAACAATGTGCAGGAGTTGGTTGGTTTTCTCCTTCCATCACGAGTCCTGGATATCAAATTCAGGTGGTCAGGCTTGGCAGCAAGCGCCATTACCTGCTAAGCCATTTGATTGACTCAGGTTTTTTGAGACAGGGTCATGTTATGTAGTCCTGGATAGCTTGGCCTTGAACTCATGACAATCAGTCCTCCTGCCTCTGCCTCCTGAGTGCTGTGATTAGTCCTGAGTCCCTACCTAGAGCTCAGAACGTTTTGGTTTGGGTTGTTGGTGGCTCTAGGGTTGCACGAAGGCTTCATGCCTGCTAAGCAAACACACTGCTCCTGAGTTACGTCCCCAGTCCGGGAAACCATTTCCACAGCATGGTTTGCTCTTTGTGGTGTGACGTGATTTAACAGAACACCATTTGATATTGTTCACCAGAAGCCCAGCATCTATTTCAGTGGTTCTCAACCTGGGGGTCATGCCCCTAACAGTGCATATCAGATATTTACATTACGATTCATAACAGTAGCAAAATTACAGTTATGAAGTAACAACAAAATATTTTTTTTTTTTCAAGACAAGGTTTCTCTGTGTAAACAGTCCCAGCTGTCCTGGAACTCACTCTGTAGACCAGGCTGGCCTCGAACTCACAGAGATCCACCTGGCTCTGCCTCCCAAGTGCTAGGATTAAAGGTGTGCCTGCCACCACTGCCCCACAAAACAAAATAATTTTATGGTTTGGGGAGTCACCACCAAATGAAGAACTGTATTAAGAGGTCTCAGCATTGGGAAAGTTGAGAATCACTGCTCTATTTGGGTTTTTTGTTTTGTTTTGTTTTGTTTTGTTTTGGCTTTGGTTTTTCGAGAGAGGGTTTCTCTGTGTAGTCGCTGCTATCCTGGAACTCACTCTGTAGACCAGGCTGGCCTGCCTGCCTCTGCCTCCTGAATGCTGGGATTAAAAGCGTGTGTCACCTCCACTGATCTATTTGTAACCAATCAGAACACATATAAACGATTAGCTTATTGTTTTTAGGGAAAAATGTCCAGAGTTTACTGTTCTTAACTGCTATGACTTTAGTCATGTGTAGACATTATATTTAAAATGTTTATCTTAAAAAAGTAAACACTTGGAGCTGAAGAGTTGGCTCAACAGTTAAGGGTACTGGCTAGTCTTCCAAAGGACCCAGGTTGGACTCTCAGCACCCACATGGAAGACCACAACTGTTTGTAACTCCAAGCTCCAGGGATCCACATGACCACATAGGAAAAACATTCATACATACAAAAATTCTGAACACTTGTTGTCTTGGCTATTCATCGCACTCCTGGGTACTTTTCCAAGAAAAGCCAAAGCAGGTATCTATACAAAGACTTATACATGAATGTTTCTTGTAATAGCTTGAAATGGAAAACACCCCAAACGTACAAATACAGATAGGTAAACTAGTCTCTGTCTCCCCATGTCATGGAGTCTGACTCAGCCAAGAGTGATTTGCTGGGATGGATATAACATTGAAGAATCTCAAAATACTTAGGATGAAGAAAAAAAAAAAAAAAAAAAAAAAAGCCAGTCCTTTCCTCTAGCTGTGAAAAAGAAAACAGAACTGTATGGCTGTTATATAAGCATCAAGAAAAACACAAATT